TTCTCCATTGTAAGATGTTCATTACAACACAAATTTCCATAGATGTCTACAATCTCATCTCTTCTTTGTATTGGCTTGATGGTATGAGATACAACTGCATGTGCATAAAAATATATGTATTGATTGAGATTGGATTGAAAATACTAAAGACCCATAATTTTATTTTTATTTTTAAAAAGATTATTTCTATTTAATATTAGACTTTAATTCTCTTATGTTTATATACATTATGCAATATATTATATATATTTTTAATTTTTATTATTAATAATTTAATATTTACTATTTATATCATATCATTACCATATATATTTTAAAGAAGCGAGTTAAAATAAAAATTTTATATAGTAATTAACTCTATATATTTAGTTATGTATAAGAAATTATGGATTGAATTATATTTTTATTTAAAAATTATATTTTAATTAATATTTATGTATTATTTAATTAATAAATATATAAATTTATACTATCAAAAATAATACTAATAGACTTGAATAAGTTAGATAAGGAAAAGGAATGGAAAGCCTACCTTGGCCGGAGTGGTCGAGCTTTTTACTTCTATACATCTGTATTAATTACATGTATATATATAGAATTAATTAATCAGATGCAAATAGGTTAATTAATGGAAATGAAGATGATGATGAAAATAAATTAAGATTTATATAATGTAAGTAAGAACCTGCAAATGACTCTTGACATGGGCGATGCTAAGTCCTTTCACATTCATCAACTGAAGAACTAATTTTGGAGTTGCTCCTGCAACAAGTAACCAAGCAATAACCTTCTCAACACATATATATCTCATATATATATATATATATGTAAGTATGTATGTGGGTGTATATATATATTAAGAAGTATGTATATATATATAGATATATGTAGTACTGTGTTGTCCTCCCCGTCTTTCCACACCATGGAGGATAGCTAGATGGAGGTCTGGCCTCCAACCAAGCCTTGGCATCTTTGATCTAACCTAACTTCTTACTCTGCTGCTGACACCTTCTTGTTTTACGATTTCCTTCTTACCATCATCATCATCTTCTTCATCTTCTACTTCGGCTTCTTTGTTCAAGTCCAACCATCTTTCTTTCTTCTCATCATCACCCATTTGGATCTGCTTTCTACTTCATCATCTTTTCGTTCAGTCAAACTTCTTCTGTTTAATTAATTACACGCTCCCCATTAATCTTACCATTCGAATACATATATATGTATATATAATGGGTCTATGTCTATGTCTATGTCTATGTCTATGTATATAATGCCCGAATGGGAGTATGTATAGCCACTTCCGTGAAAAAATCTTTTTAGTTATAACTGAGATCTTGTTGAGTTTTAAACGTCCAAAAAAGCTTTTAGGAGGTGATAGGGAGTGTACTTTATTAGGAGAGAGTATATATTTATATATGTATGTATGTATACGTATATATATATTTCCTATCAAATTATATATATATATATATATGTATCTTGGACGAAGTAAATCAATCAATCCAAAAAGTTCTTAATAAATTTGCTTATAGGGTCAAAAAATCTATATGTATAGATAAGCTATATCTAACCCTATAAGAACAGAAAGGAGTAGAATAATATTTTATATAAGCAGTGTATGTGTGTGTGTGTATACAGAGATTGATTAGGAAGTGGAAAATGTTTTCAGCAGTTGATGAATATGGATAGAATTACATAAAATCAACATAAAAAGAAAAGAGATTTAACAAGAAGCACAGCATGGGGAAAGCCATTAAAGCCATTAAGTTTATAATTAAGTACCAGAGAAAATCAAGAAGACCGGGAAAAACCAACATTCTCCATGAATGATGCTCAAAACTGAGAAATTACATCCACACATACATACACATACACGCACATATATTTACTTATGTGAAAAAGGTTTAAGATCTCAACTGTTGATGAAAATGAAAAATGCCTCATTAATATATTGTATGTATATATCATTTTAAATCCCAGGAAAACTTTGATGATTAATCAGATGAAACAAACACACAGACACACACACATGCATATATATATCAGCTTTTAGAGCTGATTGGAAGAGAAAAGTTGATCAAAACTTACCCGTCAAAGAAGGGAGCAAATCGGATGAGCTCTACGTTGAGTAATTAATTGCCGATCCACATGAAAAAAATTTGCACCCTAATAATTGATTGAACTCATCATTTACTTGCAGGAGAGAGAGAGAGAGAAAGAGAGAGAGAGAGAGAGAAATTGGGTTATGGTAAGGGAACATTTGGTAGGAATATATGTATAGAAATAAGCTTCAAGACATTAGTCAATATCGCAGTCCTAATTTTCAATAAACAAATAAAACTAGTATTCCACATGGAATGATATCTATATATTCAATATTTTACAGAGATATATATATATATATATATATATATATATATATATATATATATAAACAGAAGAAAATGGCGGATACATTCATCTCACTAGTCCACAGTTATAATATATATTATTTACCTAGCTATATAACCTCTCTAACATTTTCCTGATAAAACAACAAACATTAAAAGATTCATGTGACGACTTCTCGAGCCGTTCTCCTTCCATTGTTTTTTTTTTTTTCTTTTTACAGTCTCTCTCTCTCTCTCTCTCTCTCTCTCTCTCTCTCTCTCTCTCTCTCTTTCTCTGGCCTAATTTACTCCAAATCTTGATGATCTGATTTGGTTGTCGTTTGCTGGAGAATGAACTATTTGTTTTGTCATTATACATTTAGGATCTCGTTGCAACTTGGTCTACATTTGAAATTGATTAAATGTGCAAGTGTATGTGTGTGTCTATACATATATATATGGAGAAAGGTTGACCAACTTCTTCATTGAAATTGCACATATCATCCTAGATGCATGACCCATTGTCTTTCACACCCATCATTCCCCTAAAGATCATATCTCTCCTAGTTCTTTGTTAAGAGGATCAGCAATAGCCACTCCCTTCTACGTTCCGAGTTCATATATCCTTATTAGAAAAATAAATTTAACTATTACAATTTTACCGAGACTTAATATAAAACATCTTTATACCCACAGAGATTTAAAACTTAGCATATACATTACATTTATAGTTATATTAATTGGAAGTCACCATTTTATTAACCAAAAGTAATAGAAAGTGAATTAATGGATTTTGAACTTGTCTTGTCCCATTTCACAAAGTTATCCCAAGAGAGTCCAAGGATTTACTTTCCAAGAAAAGAATTTGAAAACTGTCATGGTGGGATGGAAACTAATTTTATATAATTTGGGAATCATTTCAAGGATTAGGTTTTCACAACAAGACACTCAAAACTGACTAGATATGTGTGTCCACATTTATCATTTTATGTACTACCTAGTTTGTGTTTGATAAAGAAAGACTACTCCTCAAGTGAAGACAAATATTCCAACTATATATTAAACTTACGATTAAGTTAATTTATATATATATATATATATGTATGTATGTATAGATAGATATATTGATTTAGTAATTTAGAGGAGCTGGAGAGAATAGGGAAGTGGGGTCAAGTCATGTCGTGTGATTAATTTAGAAATTATATGGAATTCTCTTACCCCCTACGTATGAATATATTATTATTATTGTTCTTCGTTATGTTCTGTCTTCATTTGCGCATGGGAGTTGACATTTTCATTATTAATTTATTCTCGCCAAAGAATCTCTCAGAATTCCAACTTTTAATTGTTTATCTTCTTGGCCGGATGGTGAACATCCATTTTCTTTCTTTAATTTCTTTGCGTGATTCATTTTCCCCTTGCATTTAACTATATATATATATATACATATATGTATAC